CAACTCACAATTACCTGTTATATGTATGTTGTGAGCCATTTTACATATTAGTGCTTTCTTCTGCATTGTTTTTGTTTTAGAGCACCCTCAAGAAAGAAATTCATTTCCAAAACATGTTTGGATCCAATAAGATTATTTTTACTGACACTTGGGACTTCTCCCTCCCCTTTTCGTTCTCTCTTAAAACTAGCCAGAGAAGAGGCAGATCAAGTCATTTGAGTAGATATTGTTGTGGCCAAAACCTGGCTCTCCTAAAGCAACCAAATCACTTTGAAGACACAACATAATTTTATGAGGCATGCAAACAACAAAACAACATACATCGGACTTCTGGCTGCTTGCTGGGCAGCCCTGAGCAAAACCAGAGCCGCAGCTTGTATACCTTCGGCCTGCTATATTTCAAAGACAAGACAAAGAAAAAGGCAGATACAGTGTAAATTTCAGCATGATGATGGAGTATTTTTGATAAAGCCATCTGGGTGACCTTATTATTTATCCCTTCCTCCTAGGTCAGCATGGCAGCTATACTGTCTCTGAGATATGGTCAGTGAATAGAAACAATTTGGTTTACTGGGCCACTGGTTCCTGACGGATTCTTCCCCCTGTTCCCATTCAGGGTCAATTCAGCTTGCTGTGAATGTTTTCTTACAAGGACATTTTAAGCAGTTCACTATGAAGTGCACTTCATAGGTAGTGAATGCAGCTCACATGTGTATGGGAGGGGGGTACCTTTTGCCAACACAATATGCATTGTGTAGCACTTTTACTGAGTAAAACATCCTTAGTATAATACCTTGACCGGAGAGAATAAGGCTAATTCTGCATTATGCACAAATTATTTGATGCAAATATAGAGACCATTTCAAGAGACAAAGGTGTGCTGGTAGAGTTTCAACTAAATGCTGCCATTCCATCATCAATACGCTGTGTGGGGGAGCTGTCTATCTATCAATAGAAGAGAATATATGTAGCTCAGGGTTGAACTGTGGAGTCCTTGGGGTTCTCTGAGCTTGCAGCAATTTCTGCAGGACCACAGGTTCTACCCAGAGATTAATAAGAACACTTTCTTGTCCTTTGCTGAATGTTCAAGATTTTTTTTTTAGCTTTACAATATTAACCATTCATTTTCAAAATATAGCTTTCTAACCATTTATTTTGAGCACAGCATTCTGAAAGTTATTGCCACTCCTGTACACAGTATAGTTTAAATCATCTTTGACTCAGAGGATATGAATCACAATCCTTTGTGTTAAATCCAAAGGTTCCCTTTCTCCCTTGGAGAAAGGCTCCTTAGGAGAAGCAGAAATGTTGAATCCAATCATTATGAACTGTTGTTCAGTCGTTAAGTCGTGTCCGACTCTTCGTGACCCCATGAACCATATTGCGCCA